GTGATCCAATGTCGGCTCTCCAAATACGAATGCAAAGAGCCTTGGCGCTTCTGTTCGACTAGCAAAGAGAACAACAGGGCAGGTTTGTGCCTCCACAGACTCGCTTGGTTCTCTAAAGCAAACGTCATTTGAAGTTGGGGTATGTCAGCCCCTGCTTGTATCATTACGAGTTGCTGACAAAGTCTCCAGTTAGGACAAGAACCATCCATGAAGATCAATTTCAACGTACTGCAACCTCGTCAGACCCAATTGGATGGTCTTTGAGCGTAGGCAGGGAGTCGACATTTCGCTTTCGAATAGGCGAGAATCGTGTTGCCACATATTCTGCAAGTTCATCCAAGGACTCTACATCCATACTTCAGTCAGACCGGTAACAGACATGAAAAAAACTCTCCAACGCACCTTTCCCAACAATACACAAATCCATTCGACTAGAACAATACTCCCTCTCCCACCATCCCACAAGTCTCCTCCTCATTTCCTGTAGCAGCGCACTATCCTCGCATAGCTCTGCAGCATCCGCCTCCGGTTTGTTCGCCAACTTCCGTACTTTCTCAAGCGCATTCTCGGCCTTGGGCTGCTTGAGCACATGCCCGTTCTTCGAGAGATGCTTCAGCACCGTGAGCACACGCAGTGACGCGTCGAGCGGTTCGTCAGCGCGTTCGTTGATCATAGCCTTGAGCTGTTGCTTGAGAGATTCCACTGGGAACAACGGACAATGGAAGAGCGCTGAGAATCGAGCGAGAGCTTCGGAAAGTTGGGACGATGCGACGCTGCAATGATAGGTCGTATTTGAACCGTCGGTTTCTGCGTTAAACTCTCCATGGTTCTTCGAGAGGAACTTTTGCAAGAAAGATTGAGCGTTGAAGAAATGTGCATGGTAATTCCACAAACCTCGATGAACTCCTTCTCCTTTGGAAACTCCTTCGTGCCCTAGTAAACATGATAGTTCAGCCCACGAGTCACTCAGACAAAATACTGACCCACGCACCAGATACAGTAACCGATAGCACAGCAACGTCAGACTCGGTGTATCGTCCTACACACATCATCAGTACCGAGTACGAACCAGGGACCCACAAACTCAAACCCTTACCGGATCCGACAAATGCCCAACAGCTACATTGAGCGTCACAGCAGCCTTCGTCGCCCTCGAATCATGGACCAGCGTCGCCTTGAGCCCATTCTTCAGCTTAATAACCCGATACTCTCTCTCATCCATCTCAGGTTTCTCCACCGGCAAACCAAACATATCGTACGTCGGTACTCCATCGTGTGCAGACTTGACTCGCTGCCATTGAGTAGTCGTTTCGCCTTCGCCTTCAGACATTTGTGCCGGTTGCTTGTTTTACGGGAGAGATGAGAACCAAGGGAAATCAATCATCGTGAATGACATCGGTGATTCGTTATAAAGCCAGTGCATGACCTTTTCCCAGATGATCATCGTCTGCCGCAAACAAGCAAGGACAAGAGAATGTAAAGAGCCGCAGCGGGTGAGAAAGGTCCGCAAAAGATCCGCGTGCCGTTCGCGATGCAAAAAGTTGAGTTTCAAATATGTACTTACAGCACTGATGCCCTACTACCCCTACCCCCTTTCAACTTTCAATCAACTACAGCAAAGATCAGATTGGCATATGGGATACCTTCATGATGGTTTCTGTAATACGGGAGAACGGGAAAACGATGGATCATGGATCGATGAATGGAGATATGAGGGTTGATGGGAATATTTCTGCCCTAGAGAACGTGCGCAACTCACTAAGCTTTCTGGGCCTCATCATATACTCACGTCTCAAGCTCAAGTCTAGATCCGTACATTACACAGGCATGAACGTCAAGCAAACAATCGTACTTGTGCGACTGTGACTGCCTTCAGTCCGATTCATGTCTCTCACGCCTCACCGTCATGAGAACCACCATGACCTCGAGCGATTCCCAGCTCTCTTACCATCACTACCACGACAAACGAGGGCTCTATAGCACTTAACAACCGATGCTCAAACTCTGGCTCACCTTGAGTCTCATTCTCGGCCAGGCTCTCGCAGGACACAAATGCACCAATGACTTCGATGGATCGGAAAGGGACAGGGACACTTCACACTTCTCCTATCAACCCGATCAACAAATCCCTCTCAAAGATCACAATCCGAACGCAGCCCCCGGAGAGCCAACCCTACCTCTCGAAATCGTCCCATTAATCGTCTCCGGACCGTATGTCAATCGCGTGGACTTGATGTTCTTCTCAGATGGATGTGAGTTCAATTCGCTTGCCTCCCTCGACTCTGACACTGACAACTGATTGACGGGTTCAGACTTGCCAGAAGAAAAGGAAAAGTTTCTCAAAGACGCTCAATATCTCGCAGATGACATCTCCGGAAACCAAACCTTCAACACCGTCAAACCCTTGATGAACTTTTGGGCTGCTTTCACCCCCAGCAAAGAGGTGTGTGTTCATACGCATACGGGCTTTATCATTTCAACTGACGATGGTATGTATACCAGAGTGGCGTCGGAACCGGCGGACACCCCAAAAAGACACCTTTCGGTCTCTACCGCGACGGAACAGAGCTCAGAGCCGTATACACCGCGTACCCAGAAGTTATCAAAGACGCGTGCGATAATCTATACGACCAATGTGACTATCCGATTCTCCTAGGTACGCACGTCTCCCTCCTCTCTCCTTCCCCATCCAACCCAATCCATCCCCCCCCTCCAGGCAACGACCCACTCTACGGCGGCCTCGGCGGCTACCCAACCATCATCACCTCCTCCCCCCTAAACGGACCCCAAATCCTCCGACACGAACTCGGCCACTCCATCATCCCCGTCGGAGAAGAATACGACGGCGGTTTCGCCTATTTCGGCGTCAACGCCTACCACAACACGAGCGAGGCCGTTCCCTGGGCGCATCATCTCAGTGCCAATCACCCCAAGACGCACGCGCACGTCGAACGATCTGTTATGCCTCTCCAAGACTACGCGTGGACTATGCTCAACACCAGTTCGCCTTGGAAGACCACGTTTCGGTCGTCTGGGATGTACGCGCGGCATCTGGTACGGATGTCTTTATCGGGTTTACCAGAGAAGACGGACCTACGAGTCGAGTTGGATGGGAAGGATCTCGATTGGGAGCCAAAGGAGGGATTGGGCGTGGACCGGTGGCATTACGATTTTCATCGGGACGAAGCGCTGGAGGGAGGGGAACATGAGGTCTCGTTCACGTTACTGAACAAGGAGAGGGAAGGAATTGCGCAGATGTGTAGTGTTGAGATTTTGGAGTTTGGAGACGAGGACGAGTGAGTTCATCTTCCCCCCAACTAACTGATTATGAATACCCCAGTCCTCACGAAACATACAGATTCGTCTCAGAGCCTGGATACTACGGTGTCTTTCCGACGTGAGTGAGGATCCGATAACCGGCACTTCTCGCCCTCACTGTTCCTTATAGGTATTCGGAGAGTAACGAAACATCGTACCGTCCAACCAACGAAGACTGCCTCATGCGAATCGTAACCACCCCCAACTTCTGCAAAGTATGCCTCGAAGGCCTCTGGCTCGCCCTCCTCAAACGGCTCTCCCTCATCGACACCATCGTCATTCGATGCGACGGCGACAACACAGCTCTAGAAGCGACCTTCATACCCCTCGCCGAGTACCGGCCTGAGGCCGACCGAATCGAGGGAGAAGAATACACAGTCACTTGGTCGAAGGACGGGGAAGTCTTATCGGACTTTACGAACAAGACCAAGGTGGTCTTCCCTCCGGAACGTGCGTTGGGAAGGTACAAGCTCGAGGTGGGTTTAGTCACCCCGGAGGTTGTACTGGATAAGGAAGGTGTTTTGAATGGCGTGGTGGAGTTTGAGGTTTCGAAGACTTGTGATTGGTATGAAGCAGGAGGAAAGGTTTCGATAAGTACCGACGCCTAGTGGTTCTTCGTCCTGCTGGGTTCTACTCGACTCTCGAGTTGTTATTTTCTATCATTCTACAAGTTCGATGTCTCTGAGGGTGAATCTCTCATTCTGATACAAGAATACAGCGGGGATTCATATTCAGAAACTACAGCCTCTCGTTCTCTCGAAAAGGACGTCTAGTCGGTGCTTTGACAATTGTTAGAGGTGGAACCTGCTATAAAATGTGCCCAAGAGCACGGATCAGTCTCAGGGGGCTGAACAGCAGCCGTTTGCAATTCCTTAATTCATGTACTTAACTTATTGCCAGCGTTCCGTCTAGGCACGTTCAAAATACTACTTACACGTCTACGTACCTTACAAACTTTGCTATACCCCCGTGATCTCACTCAGGTAGCCCGAACGATGCGCGGATACTCGGTTGCACCTCACTGTCGATTCAGTGTCCATCTTCTTGCGGCAAAAGGGGTACCAATCTCGTGGATTGGACGGGCACACTGGGCGTAAGCTTCAGGCGCAAGTATATCCAGGACCGACACACTACCAACGATTGAAGCACATAGTAGACGACAAGATCCATCCTCGAGCGAGAGGGTCCTGTGCAGTGTACACATTCTTACGGAGGCAGCTTGTGGAGGGGACGGTTTCGGAGAGATAGAACGTGATTGTACATGACTTGGGTTCTTGAATCTTGAAGGTCCAACTCTGTGCCAGCCGCCGATCATTTCCCCCGGTGGATTGTGTAGTCATCAAGGAGTGGTGTTAAATGGTACGCCTATCGGTGGTGTGAAAGCTCAGTATCTTAGATTTTAGATTGGAGCAGTTCAAACAATGGCTTGCCTGTGAATCGAGGCCTGAGATTCCTCGCCTAGTGGTTCTTCTCTACTCGACTCTGCGTTATTCTACAAGTTCGACGTCTCCGAGGGTGAATCTATCGTTCTGGTGCAGACATATATCTGTTTCTGAGTTTAGGGTTGTGGATCGCGTGGTGTGTGGCTTGTCGGTGTCCCATGTGGACGCGCATCTGTAATTTTCTCCTCGAGGGCCATGTCGCCGTGCCAAAACACAAATACAGATCAGGAGGGGAAAAAGAACCACACACGGGACTCGAACCCGCAACCTTTGCCTAGCTAGACCTATGAAGCTTCGGTCGTTAGGAAAGCAACGCACTACCATTGTGCTAATGCGGCTTAATCCCGATCTCAAAATGTCATTATAATAGCCGGCGTACAGTCCCACGAAAAAGATGAAAATCCATTTCATTCCTCAAGGAAAAGAAAGAACATACAACCTCTCCCCCTCTACAGCCTAAAATAACTTACATACCATACTATCAAACGAGAAATCCATCCTCGAACTCCACGTCCATTTTCACGTGTTACAACCGAATAGCGCCTCCGCCTCCACCAGGCGTTTGGGGTTTACTAGCAGGGGCAGCGGCAGCCAAATCTTCCTCTTCTTCATCTTCGTCATCATCTTCCAAAGCGAATGGCGGCTGGGTCGCAGCTGCGGGTGCCTGTGTCTGTGGAGGAGGGGGAGGTTGCTGATTCTGATTCTGTTGGGAAGGAGGTTGATGGGCTTGTTCCGTTTGTTGCTGCGACTGCGACTGCGAATGATGACTGACGGGATTCGTATCCTGAGGCGGCGGTGGAGGTGGCTGTGGTCGAGGAGACGATGGATTGGGTCTAACAAATCCTCCATCCAGCCCTCCACCGACATCAACACCAGCCTGATGACTAACAGGATTCGTCTCGCTCCTTCTAGGTCTCCCGAACCCCCCCTCAAGTCCACCCGGCACTCTCTCATACCCTCTGTTACCAAAATCCCCACTAAAACTCCTCTGCCCACCTTCATACCCCCTCGTCGTCATCCACTCTCTAAACGCGTCCACCCCATGTCCAACGTGATACTTCATCGCCTCGATCGAAAACCTCGGGACCTGGTCGAACCCTCGGAGTTCGAGCACGTATCGATTGTATAGCGTCCCGAGGAGTAGGTATATCATCACCACTACGACCAACAATACGACGAGTGATGCCAGAAAGCCGAATGGACCTGATCGTTCGCCTGTTGGGCACGCGAACTGGGTAGTGGGTAGAGGGCGTTAAAATAAGGAACCGTCGTCGGGTTTAACGTCTGTCCACTCACATGCGTCTTCCACTCAATGAAAAACCCACAAGCAGGTTCGTCATCCGTCGGTAGCTGAGCACGTAGCATCGGTTGTCCCTGCACACGTACGAATGAGATCGCTGACACCAACTCCCAAACTCTCAGAGAAAAAAACCCACCTGCCCAAACACAGACGTATCACACATAAACTCAATCACCGTCTCCGCCAAAGTCGTCTCGCTCCCCTTGCATTTACTCCCTTTCCTCATCTTAAGCTTGGGTATCCCATCCGACATCAACAGAGTCGTATTCGATAGGCTTCATACGCGCAATCAGACACCACACCAAACCACGAAAAAGTCGTGGAGAGAACGCACCCAACACTAAAATCTCCACGATCCCCCCTCACGAAACCCCCAGTGTTCGGATCGCTCAGTTCCCAAAGCTCCGTCTTCACAGGTTGACAAACGTTGATGTGAAATTTATGTCCTCCCGGGGTGTCGAAGGTGTAGTCTTTACTGGGTGGACGAAGAAATAAGAATGAGTTGGATCACGCTCGAGGATGGTGTGATACTCACTTGGCCTTCAACGGATTAAGATCATAATACTTCCCATCTCCGTGAATCGTACATGGTTTTTCTTCTTCTGCTGTGACGAGCGCGGCGGCAGATAAAGCGAGAAGGAGGAGGATGGATTTAAGTGGTGGGTGCTTGAGGAGCATCCTCACTGTCGTGTCAGGGCAATTATGGTGGTGGTGGTTGGCAGGGGTGTGACGTAAACTATTTTGGCAACAGTTACAACCGGACACTGCCAATCTCTGCCAATCTTGAGCGTTCCCAGACTCTGCCTTCACTGTGATGGTCAAGTACATACTCACTCCCTTTGATTTCCCCGTCTCACAGAACTCAGTTTAGGGGACGGTCGCGATTCAATTCACATTTGAAAGATAAGAACACCGACAAGTTTTTTTTTGCGAAAAACCTCGAAAAACACATCTGTCACGGCGTCACCGCGCGCTCGGATCCGGCAACTTCCATCCGGGAAGCTCGCTGGGGAACCGATTTCCTGCTCTGGAAAGCACAGAATTGGTGAGACGTCTCCCAGGTGCACGTGGGTTAGAACATATGCTTAGAATGTCAAAAAATCATTGGAGACTCGAAAGGAGAGAACAGAACCCTGGAGACCGAGGGAGCTGAGGGTCGCAACAAAACAGCATCGGATCACGGAAGTGCTACTACTGCTCGCGGGCTCTTGATAATTCTCGGATTCTCCCTTACTTGGGCTCTTGGCCTGAGCCTCCGTGTAGTACGGCTGACGAGACCAATCAGCTCCGTGGCGACCGCATTACGGTCTATTTCGGTCTAGTTTGGTCTGCCAGGTGCCTCAGACTCAGTGCGCAATGCGTGGCCAGGAGTAACTTTGCCATACTAAGACTTCAAACCTTCATCTCTGTGAAAGATCTGCACTTTCGATACTGGGCGGTGATCACAGAAAAGATATATTCAAGCTTGTGAACCAATAGAACGTAATCAGCGAGCGTAACCGCAGTCGGCTGATCAAAGGGTGAAACAGCTAAGGTGAGCGTACTCGCGGTTCTACCTTAGTCGTTCGGACACTTACACTTCACTCGAAGGCGAAGGTGGTAAGTTAAAAAGATGAATTCGATGCCTTCTACCAGAAAATAATTGAAGTATCCAATTGTTTTCAAAACATATTTACGGGTCATTCGTACAAGTCCGAGTCATCATTCCCATTCAGAAATCCCCGGGTCAAATCAAGCTAAATTGAGCTCGCTCGAAATAGCTCATCATTACGAGTCATATAACAAAGACAGACTTGAATCAGAAATAATACAGAAGCGATGAAAGGCAACAGGACGTACTTTCCTCGTCCAGTCTCTTTCATATGCTCATTCCCCTTTTGAAGAACAGCTAGAACCCAGCCTATTTACAGACATCTACTGCGTTTTTTTTTTGTTGGGCAGAGGGTCGGAGATAACGCATAGCTGTTCCGCATCCACTAACAGCCTTGCTTAGCAGTCGTGCCGATCTCCCGTCCAAATCTTTTTTCTTCTTCAGCAGCGCTGTTTGTAAAATCGCAACACATCCTGCGCGTAAGCTGTCGATGACTCTACTTATGTCAGATCTATGGAACAGCGTCTTGCTTCGACAACGTAAAGAGTATGGTGGATTATCGGAATAAAGTATGACGTGGGTATTATGGATAAATGAAAGACGGGCGAAGACCGTAGCGCGTGTGTTTGCTACAGGTCATCCGGCTGGATTAACGTGGTAGCCTAGGGAATCGAAATGTGAGCGAGATCCCCGGGTTGTAGGAGTCTTACAACGCGTCGGAGCGAAGTGAGAGATTCCCGGATAGTAGGAGTATGACTCACAGTGGGGAATATTATCGAATTCTGGGCATGACGGTCAGATGAATCGATGATCGATGAACCCTGATTGAGTCGCCAGGAGATTGAACCAGGATCGTCGGATAGTATGTCAGCACATCAACCCCAATGAAAAGCGCGCCTCGTCTTGTCTTCGGATTCGCTGTGGATGCTCTAGGAAGAGAGCAGAAGGAGGTCGTGCCTGCTATCCCGACCTCTGAGAGACGGACTAAGCTCATGGCCTGCTTCGGCGCAGAATGCAGGATATGGGCAAGGGCCCGAAGGGCCCCCGGGCCCCAGCGAGACCTTCCGCTGCGGGGGTATCCGAGTTGGCTGCGAGGGCGGGTGGGAAAACACCCGGTGAGGCCAACTGCACCGCAGGGGAGGTCCTCGCCGGAGCAATACGCAAGATTATTGGATGTGTTGCGGATTGCGTGTCAGAGGGAGTGGTGGGAGGGTGAGAAAACCGAGAGAGAGAGGAAAGCCGTCGAGCTGAGGCTGGCTTTCCTCGAGCCAGTGGTGACGGTGCGAAGAGAGAAGATAGCACCGCACCACGTGGCGATCCGAAGACTACTATCTGCCGAGCGCTCGTGCCTCGCGCTCGCCAGATCTACAA